CTAACTGGTCAGTACATTATGCCAGAATATTCATGTGGTTGAAACCAATGTATCATCTGTATTAAAAGGGGCAATCGCTATGCAGTAAATAGTCAAAGTTATTTTAGTCTGTCATTTGTACTCGATTCTGCTATATATATTTACATATAGAATCTTTAATCAAATCTGATCACAGTATTATGTATGTATGTAAGTGTGCGAAATCAGAATGTTTCAACTTTTCATGTACTTTGATTGATGAAAAAAACTTACTGTCTTTATTATAATAATATAACCTAGAGATATCTGATTCTGATTTCTCGAACAAGATAAAAATAATAGTAGTAGTTTCGATAACCAATGAAACTTTGATAATCAGGAATTCAAGGAAAGGAAAGTTCATGCTCTATATATTCACTACTGAAACATTTTATTCGTGGTGTTATGAATAATAGATATTCTTCAAACAATGTATGCTTTATATTTTGATATTAAGGATAAAACGAAGAGATTGGTTGCTTTATTCACATGTTTGTCAATGTTGCATTATTTATTCGCTTCTATGTGAATAAAAATCATTAAAAAGATAAATAATTCAATATTGTGTTAATTAATTGACTCTTAAAAAAACTTCAAATTTAGTTCGTAAATACTTTATTTTACAAAATTCTGAGCACAATAATCTCACTTCCTTTAATACATTTCCCATTTGTAATAATACACTTATCCTATTTACGTTCCTAAATTTTAAGACATCCTTCAAGGTTACATTCGCCAATAGTAAACAATCAAGGCATCACATGAAATTTTACCAAAAATCATAAGGTCACCTAATGAATACATTGTTTAAACACTAAACTAGTATTTCACATTCTCACCAGTCAAATTATGATTGCATTATAATCTTTAATTATATAAGTAAAATGTATGATCTAATTCCTTGTTTAGTTATATTATTAAATCTTTCCATAATTGAACCCTAGAAAAATTCACTTCAAAGTTAATCATTAGTGAGGATATGCTTCTGAATTAACAAGATCTTTAGTTAATATATATTTTCACAGTTGGAATCATGGATCGATCTCAGTTAAACAATCACTGAAAATGTAGCAGCACTGGACAACTGTTCCATCCTAGAATGGGATTAATCAACAGTGCCCGGCCACAGGACTTTCAGTTTAACGCGTAAGGTTATGAATTGGTTGAAGCTAGTTATTAACACTATCGGATGCCGTCTCAGTTGTCTATGGGTTAAGTGTTCACACGGGGGACCGAAAGTCCCAGGTTCGATTCCTTCATTCGGAGCCGTGGATACGTACTGTTGAGGAGTTCCATACTAGGACAAAACGGCCGTCCAGTGGTTCTAGGTTTACAATTGCTGTCTAGCTAAGATCAGTTCACGATTTCAGCCATAAAAATCCCACATATAAATATTTATTTGGAAATCTAAAGATAAATTTACAGTCGGAACAATTGTTCAATACTCATTGATTTTGTAATAATTCCTCAGCTAATGACAATTTATAACAAGAAGTATATTTGAACAATATCATCTATTATTGTTTATCAAAATATAATGATGTTTTTTATTGTGCATAATCCACTCCCATCATTCTGTACAAGAAGAAATTTGTCATTAGTATTGCTGTGAATATAGTGGAAAACTATTTGCCACCAGAGAAATATAGTCACTATTTTAATTATTTCTTTTCTTTTACGCAATTCTTTATATATACATCATACCTAAATATTAATAATTAATCGCCGTTAATATTTTTTTATAATTCTATCATCATTGTTACTAAGATTCTTCACAAATGACAATTAACATCATTAAGTTACATTTCTAACTCTTAATCTACTTGAGTAATTTCACTAACGATTATGATCATTTTTTTGTTTTAGCAAAACATTGAGGGAAAGATGTTAAAATTTCTTCCATAAGATGTCCACCAGTAGATGATCACGTGTTATAACAATTAATGTAATACATTTTGTTTTAATTCAGTAAACTTAATTAGGTTTCATAGAACAAAAAGAATACGGCTAACAATAGAATGTAGAACCAGTGTTTTATTCGCTTTGCGACTCATCAGTTGAATTTATCTACATCACACTGTATATATTCACACCGGTACTAAAATCCAGTATCTTTTGTTTCAACTCCTCAATTCATTAACCATTGAGCTACTGAATCATTGATAGTCATTAACTCAAATCCTATCCTAGTTTGTTTCATTTTTGAAGCTTTGTGGGTATGAGCTTGTATATGGGTGAGCATTTTCTGATTTTCTACATAAGTTCATCTTCATTAAACAGCTATTTATGACCGGAGAAAAATAGTTTAACTCATAGAAGTATTCATTTTCTTGCTTGTTAGTGATTTTTTGAAAGATAAGTGTTTCAAAATCGCTGTGGAATACTATAACCTGTAAAGAAAGTTCAAATGAGGGTGGTTTAGATGTCCACCAGTAGACGGTCACGTGTTGTATTAGATTGACTAATTTTAAAATATTGTGAATCTCTAGATTCTCAGCGAATAAAATCGTATTTATTGTAAGACCTAGATATTCTGGCTTCAGAATCATTCGCTATGGATATGAATTTTTGAGGGACTGCTATCCGTAACAAGGCAACTGCCATTTAATTCCTGGTATTTACCCAATGTTGATAATATAATAAAATAAAGATGAAACTCTGAAGCCGCTTGTCTTATCCAACAAAATATCCTGTAGTATTATACAACGAAATGGTTTAAGTTAGGTAACCGTTGTAAACTGGGAAGCAACGGACATCTATTTCTTCTTAGTATAGGACTCCACAGGATTTCGCGTTTATGACCCCTCCAAGAACTGAGTTCGGAACATCCAAGATGGCGCTTAACTCGCATACCTTCACAATCCTCTATAATTAAAAATTCATGTTTTTACTAGTAAATTACTTCAAGCGGTAATTTCAAGGGTTCTCGTAAGATGTCGTGAATGTTTGGCTCAGTAATATCAGAAGGTGGAAGCTATCATCAATGACAATGAATAGTGTTCTAACAATAACACGAATTGATTGACTTGAGAACCCTGAGTTCGAGCCCTGATCAAGTAACGGGTGCTCACTTCTATGGAGCCCTGTACTAAAAAAGCATCTGTCCAATAACTCCTAGTTCGTTATGATTGTCTAAGATCAATGAGTGATTTAAAAATTCACTCCATAACCCCTTATACTCTAAAATGAAACCTACTAAATAGTTAAGTCTTAATAGCAAAATAATCAGTTTATTAAAATACATAAACATAATTTTTGATTTCACAAAATGCAATGGTTAGTGTCTACGGCTGTTTTTTCTTCCAAAGAAACAGGTTATCTTTATGTCTATTTATAAAGTAATTGATGAAACTGATACCATTTACTATTAATAGTGTAATTTTTTAAGTTTGTTCTTTTCAACGTCAAAACACATGTCTATGCATAATAAACCAGTACTGTGTTCTTGTTTGTTGATTTCGTGTTTATGCTTGAGCAAACTAAATGCACTGATTTCTTACTATCAAGCAGTGTTTTTTTTCTTTTAATTAATGTACACAGATTGATAACCTAGATTTTTGGTATAATGTGTAATTAAGTAGAATGATTTTTAAATGATTGCTTTAAAACTATAATAAATGACGTGTTGAGGAGTTATTTCTTCTTGAATTTTGTAGATCTTTCAGTAGACGGTTTCAAATACCCTTAGGGTCATTTGAAATGTACCTATGTGTAATCGTAACTAAGTTTATGTCTTAACACCATTGGAGCACAAGACGGAAGGTCCTGAGTTTGAGTCCCGATGATGCGGAATCTTTGATGCGCACTTCCGAGAAGTCTCACACTAGAACGAAACAGGCGTTCAGTGCTTCCAGGTTTTCAATGGTGGTCTAATATCAATCGATTTATGATCTAAATAAAAAACTTAACAATCTACACAACCCCATAATGATAAGTATGTCTTTATGTTATAATTGCGGTTGTTCAATTCACTAATTAAGTAAAATACTTAAAATAGTTGTTGGCCTAATTAAATATATGTAGAAAAATATTTTCACCAGATTACTTAGTCAATAAAAAATAAGTAGCTACTTGTTATACAATGAAACATTTTAAAATAAGTGATTATACTCTATAAATATTGTTTCTTTTTACTAATATATATATATATATATATATATATATATATATATATATATATATATATATATATATATATATATATATATATATATATCGATGACTTTTCGACTGTCGTCAATCATTAAGGTGAACCTCTTCCAAGTCATAAAATTATTTTAAAATGCTATCTTAATATACAATATTATTAAGTGGTGAGTATCAGTAATTAAACGCAATAAGGATGTCTCTCATTTGAGAGGACCTGAAACATTCCTTGGTCAAAATGTAGATAAGTGGTCAAAACTTGAAAGGAAAAGTCTATACTGAATGGATGTAATCAGGTTTAATAGTTTCGAAAGAACTCAACAAAGCTAGATGATTTACGACTGTAAGTAATCAAAAATGAGGTTTCCGACTGACCTGACAACTGAGTGGTGACCAATTTCATGTTTATTTAGTCCTTCAGCGTTAATCGAGTTCCGTTAGTTAAATGACTTGACGTTATATTGAATATGTTGAGATGCTAGGTGGTTGGATATAATCAACAGAATTGTAAATATCTGACTTTTACAGAAGATATGTGCTTCCTTGGATAACTAAGTGGTAACGTCTCAGATCATGAAGCTGAATGACACAGAATCAAATATACATGGAAGTACCAGTCATCTCAAGATCATAGATACACCTTGCTGACAAATGCCAATTAGTACAAAATCTCGCTTCAGGATATCCTATCAACTAAATCAAACCACCACTTCATATCTCGACATAGTACACGTAATGTTGAATCACTTAGACTAGTGGCTAAATTGTTGCTTGATTGATCATCACTAAAAAGAACTTGTTATCAGTATTTTAGAAAAATAGATCACAATTTAAGATAAGCAATGAAACTGATAAGTTACTTTTTTGAAACAAAAATATTTTTTGTAAACATCCGTTCTTATAGAAATCAATAAATAAATCTTATTCTCATTGTAACATATTTATCTTGTTTCTTGTTGTTATATTTCTTTTATTAAACAAAAGTTACTTTTTATTTTCGTGAATACATTTTGAAAACCAATTTAAATGAAAGTTTTTTATACCGACTTAAATTGTATTTCAAAGTGAATTCGACCCGACCAAAGTAGCTCGTGCTAGTACAGCTGCTGAAGGTTTATGCAAGTGGATATTAGCTATGGAACAGTATGATCATGTAGCTAAAATTGTAGCACCAAAGCGTATTAAATTAGCTGAAGTTGAATTAACAGAGAATATGGCATGTTTAAAAAAGACACAAGATAAATTAGCTGAAGTTGAAGCTAAATTAGAAAATTTAAAAAATCAACTTAAATTTACACAAAGCGAGAAAAAACGCTTAGAAGATGAAGTATCAAATTGTGCAACTAAATTAGAAAGAGCTACAAAGTTGATAGGTGGCTTAGGTGGTGAGAAAGACCGTTGGCATCAGGCAGCTGAATATGATAATCCTATTGGTGATGTATTGACATCAGCTGGAATAATTGCTTATTTGGGACCATTTACATCGACTAACAGAGGCTCGCATCTGACGCAAGACCGATAGGTCCTGGGTTCGAATCTCGCGGGGTCGTGAATGCGCACTGCCGAGGAGTCCCATACTAGGACGAAACGGCCGTTCAGTGCTTCCAGGTTTCCAACAGTGGTCTAACATCAACTGATACATGATCTCAATAAAAATAAGTTATTTTTCTTTATTATGTTTACCTGCGTTGTTATAGATTTGAACATATTTTACACTCCAATCATCAATAGCTCTGATTTGTTTCAAATATCAATTTATCAAGAGAAAGTTGTCCATTAACTTCCGTAAGATGATTTAGTCTACAAAGAATAGTGTTTAATCCACATTTTGAAATTCGATGTTAAGGAATAATAAATTTTGTAAACACTAAACGCATTTTATAAATGAAAAACAATTTATAGAATCAAACGTATTAGTATAAATGTTCTACATTCGCTGACCAACTGAAGCTCGTTTGAAATTCTGTATATATTATTGCATGAGTGAATTATGAATTCTGCATACTGAGTTGTTCTCCATTCTGACTATTAGGTGAGTGAGTATGAGAAACAACATTCTGGACTAATAGCCACTTAGTGTTTTTCGGCTATTATCTCACATTTAGCGTAACACTAGTACTAGATAGATAGCTTAAGGGAGTTAATTAATACTTGGATTAGATCAATACATCTGCTTTCCTATCTAACAGACCGGTCTCAAGAGCCCCAATAAACACATTCCTCATTGTTTTTTCTAGGAATCTCGACGCACTACTTATTGATAGAACAATTAACTTCAAAATGTAACAAGACGAAATTGAGTCACGTCTAATAGGTTTCAAACGTATTTTTAATCGTTGTTATTATGTAATCACTTCAAATAACTAGCCGAATTCTAGACTTAGTTTTAGGCTTTTCAGTATATGCTTATGTAAACACTGCGGGCAATTAACTGAACACTAGAATGAAACTTTAACCAACCATATATTTAATAAACTTCTTACTTTAACAAGCATTCATCTGATTACTTGATAAACAATAAAACTCAAAATTACATAATTGTATCTTGTTAACCAAACTTATTCAGAATTAAAATTCTATTCAGAACAATTGAGGCATTTGTTTTAGTCGATTGTACAGTTGTGAAATGACATCACTGAGAAAACATGTATTTGAGAGTATATAACAAATAATCTGAAATATGCTAGTCCTAAATAGTCGAAACTTAATCGACTGATTATAGTGTCGATATTCTTAAACCTCTCAAAGTGATTAACAGACAAAGAAACGCTTAGCTAAAGCAGAAGCCAATGATCTACTCGAAATGAACCTATACCTTTATAAAGAAACAGTTGTCTACTTAACACTGCTATAGTGAACTGATATTTTCCATCATACTGTCTTTAATAATTTTTGTTCTTATGTTATGTTATAAAATATTTACTAAGTTGATCATCATTTGATTCACTTGAAAATTAACTTCTCATTCAATCAGTGGTTTTCATAAATACAATCCTTAAAATTTTATCCAAACTCGTCAAATTTTCGAGAATTGCTGTGCAGTGCGCATCTTATCAACTTTCCAATCATAGATAAGTGCTGTTGTATTCCGTTTGTATTGACTTAATCTATGTTCAAACAATCTTAAATATGCATATAAATTATATTATACTGATAACCCGTATTACTTCGACCATTCAAACACTGTTGTTTGTTATTCAATGATAATATGTTACTTTTCAACGCGAATAAGATTAAAGGAAAATCGTGATAACCTACATATTATTATGCTTAAGTTGTTGTTCTTTGCTTTATTCCAATTTTATTCTAAAGATGCTTTGTAAAAATGTTTATTTTTAAAGATTATATACATCATGAATCGACATTAAAATGTAGTTTGTAAATAAAGGATCATTGTAGATCTGTGTTTAATTGGATTTTAAACTCGTTAGTAACGTTCCACATGTGATCAGTTCAAGATCTTCTAATTTCGCCATGAAAAGCACAATACATTTAAATCCCTGAATTAGAGTTGAATGGTTAGTATTCAGACAATCATTTAATAACTCTTACAATTGTGACAAGGTTGAACTCCATTAGTCAAGAATTTTCACTAAAATTAAAGGAATCCATTTCGGTGTTATTTACCAGTGAGTACAACACTATTGTTTATGAAGTAATTAATACGGTCGGAATAAACTTTTTTTTACCACGGATGGACTTATTTCAACTCAAAGTTCTAAAAATATTATGCTCATTGTGAAAAACCAAAGTCGTAATTTCGACTTCTTATTCTTGTGAGTGATCACTGCTGAGTAGTTTAAAACTTGAACGAAGAAGCTACTATCATCTCATGACGAACACCATTTTGTTTATTTTTTAAAATGGGCCCAATTCTTTCTCTACTTAAATAACGACCGCTATGATCTAAATAACTAGTTACTTCCATACGCATTCAGTGACTTGACCGTTGACATCAATAAACTAGTTTTATACACCAGAAAACGTGCGACAATATTTCACATATAAACAATGCCATCGGAATACATATCCATCGATGGAAATAAACGAAAACAGAACAAGATGCAACTATCAACCTCAAAAATAGAATATTTCTTTGAGAAAAAAAAACACAAAATAAACTATTAAGTTAGATCATATCATTCATTTCATTAACAATAAGAAAGTGTTCGCCCTCCGCCTTACAAAAAAAGATGTGATGTAAACAGGAAAGAAAAGAAAAACAAACAAAAAATGAAAAGTGATCTTCCCATTGCTTTGATAATATTCTTCACTTCTCTCAACACAGAAGTGAAAATGTGTATAATTTTTTTTCAAAATAAAACAGAAATCAACAACCCATAGACAACAGGAAGACACAAGAAAGTTAAAGAGTAAGCGAAAAGCGAAGACGTTATACACACACAGAGGGAGAGATAGAGAATGAAGTATCAATCATGTAATTCAACTCAAACAGAAATTATTATCATTAATGCCGTTATTCGCTTATTTGTCAAAGTTATGAAGGAAAATTTTAGATTTTTTCCATCAAATTGATATGAATTTTCCTTGTGTCTCTCCTTCCTTAACTGATGTTTGGATCAATTTCAACAATCGAGAAAAGGGAGGAATAAGTTCTGAATGAAGGGCAGTAAATAATACAAAATGATATATTAATTCATATGAATTAAAAGTACTGAGATCAAGTTACATTATTACATAAGTTTGATTTATAGTTAACATGTATATCAAGTATCATACTGTTTACCAACACATATTATGTACATTGGTTTACGAGCCAATGCACATCATAGGAAGCTGTTAAAACGGGCGAATATCGAGAAAGTTGTAACTTGAGGAATTATCTTGTGAAAAATTATCATTTATATTTTTAGTATGAAAAATCTGCAGTATTTCTACAGTTGGAATCATGAACTGATCTTAGCTACATTACTGTTAAAAACCTGAAAGAAATGAGCAGGGCTTTTGTCCTAGTACGGGAACCCTCGGAAATACTTATTCACGACCGTACACGCGGGAATCGAACATAGGACCTTCGGTTTTTATTGTACATTAGCGCAATACATTTCGAACAATCTGGTCACACATATACTTGTTAAGAGCATTTATATATAAAAATAAAAGGTCAACTAGACAGGAAACGGGGTAAGAGGAGATAAGGATAATGATAAGAGTAATAATAATAATAATGTGAACACAATTTGAAACCTATTATTATTATTATTATTACTCTTATCATTATCCTTATCTCCTCTTACCCCGTTTCCTGTCTAGTTGACCTTTTATTTTTATATATAAATGCTCTTAACAAGTATATGTGTGACCAGATTGTTCGAAATGTATTGCGCTAATATATCACATAGTTCTGATAATCTTCGTCTTCTAATATCATTATCGAAATTTATCAAAGGGACTAATTGTTTTAAATTTTATTGTACAATTGTTAGACATTTGGATTATTGTATCCTTATGTTATGTTTATTGTAATTTTTTCCGCATATAGACTATCAATATATGTTTGATATTTTTCAAGTTACTATTCACTGATTACGGACCTACCGCTTATGAGCGTACTGTAATTCCCTATTTATGTTGGTCGGTGGTCAGGTCAGGATGTAACTATATATTACTGCACGAACTGAGTCATATAACTGGACGGCTACACAACACGGATCTTATCTAATTGCTAATCTTGTCTTCCGAATAAAAACGGGGCTAGATGTAGCTTGAGGGCCAATAGGTGTTAAGGTTTCACCCGTTGTTTATTGGTCATTGGTAAAATCAAAGGTCGCCGGCTATACAGGCGTAGAGCGAACTAATCAATAATCAGACTAGAGAATACTACTGTTCCTTTAGTAAAGGCCCGATCATACTTGCTACAATATAATTCAACAATCTGTTCTTTTTGAAGGTACAACGGAAACGCAGATTTTTTTCTGGCTGAAAAACAAATAATAAATGACAAGCAGATGCTGTAAGTGAGAATATATGGATAGGATAGCCAGTTAATTAGTCATTGAACAACTTAGGGCTTAAGTCAAATGATCACTTCATGGGCGGATGAAATTGCTAAATTATGTTAAAATAGCTGATACACTGAAAAACCTCAGTTTTTTATATCGTAATATGTACTAATAAATATTGATTTTAAAAAGTTAACTCTTTATTGAAGTGGTCAAATATCCACTATAAACATCCCAACAAAACTTGGAAGTTCGATGTAGTTGTCTAACACAAACTATGTCACCTATGCGTCCAGAGTGAATCAAAAGATCTCCAGGTAGATTATTTCATAAGGATTTATAAGAATAAATAGTTGCGTTACAAAATATATCTCTGATAAAACTAAATGGATAATGACACAAATTTCAATATAACTTAATTGTTATACTCTGGTGTTGCGAAAAGAAGATATCACCTCACCTAGCTGTACACAGTCATAATATACATGAAGAAAATCCACTTAACCATCAACAATAGAGTAGTATATAAATATACACTAATTTTCTATTAACTCACTCACCAGATACTTGAATGTAAGCCATATTTCAAGTGTAAAGGCTAATTATAGTATGCGGTTGCTTAAGCCCAAGTAGATGGGACAGGGTTCAAAGTTGGGAATTAGTGAAAGTTGAACACTTTAACAATTAAGCCATCACTCAACATAAATATTATCGTTTAGATATTTCTAAACAGTTTATAGAATAATAATTGACAAAAATACTAACAGAATCAATGTCACCTACAATTCTGATCTTCTTGAGGGACTTCTATTGTCACTACTGGTGGTGGATTCACTGATTCATCTACCACAATAATATCTTCTGGTCGAGGTGCTTTAGGTGGAAATTGACCATCCCAAACCGCATCAATTGTAGTATACATAGATGATCTACTAGTCTGAGATGTACTGTCATCATTGTTTGTTCCAGTCGTTGTTGATGCTAAATTTTGTGAATTGTTTGGCAAGCCTAGAATAGAAATTATTTTACGGAATATCTCTTCTGCCTAAAATAAATACAAAAACATAATATGGAAAAATGTTTAGGTTGTTTATACCGATAAGTTTAAAATAAACAAAAATATTATCAGGTCATAATATAAAAAAAAAAATGAAAATCGGTCAAACTCAAAATCAGAAAGAATTCAATAATAATAACAATAATAATAATAATAAACCATCCTAAAGAAATTAAATTCTCTTTTTTAAGATCAAATAAATACACATAGTTGTTTAACTGATATAGTTGCTCGATTTCGTATCAATATTTATTATATGCATTATATTATCTTTTGTTATGTAAACAACAGTACAACTATATGAAAACATAGTTTAAATTGATGTTGTCAAATTAGGATTATGTGTAGAATCAAACAAAAACAAAAGATTGAAAGAGTTCATCAAAGGGATAATTTAAACCAACGTGAATTGAATTAAAATGTATACCCTTCGCACAAGCTAATACCTATCCGAACTTAGTAGATAAACGGATAATAGGGTTGGGTCTTTGAAGTGAGTGTTACTGAGTTCGAATGTCGGTGTGAACATCAACTCTGATGTGCATGCAAATTCAGCTGATGTGTCGTAAATAAGACGAAACGTGGGTCCTGGATTTCAGTTCCAACGCCACTTTCCACTACACGTTAATTACGAGCGATGTGTTAGTAATATTCACCAAACTTGAGTACATCTGCATATAAATCATTCACCTAAATAGTACTTTATTATTCTTTGATTGTCTAGAGTGAATTTTCATTCGTCCCAGTTACCAACACTTGCATTCATTATAACAAACTTTTACTGTTCATAAAAATGTAAATTTTAATAAAAATTACAATTATAATGAAAACCATATCGTCTGATTTCTCAATCAATAAGTAGTCAGTTGGTGACATACAAATTAGATCTACTAGAAAACTAATAAATGAATGAATGCCGTGTAATTACTATTGTAGTATTACGAAAGTTTTATATATATATGGAGAGAGAGAGAGACTATCAATAGACTGCAATAATGGTTATGCAATATGCTGCCACATGTAATAAAACATCATTTATAAAACATGAAAATATTTCATGCATGCATTTACTTTCACACACACACACACATCCAGCCTACATATTTACATACTAAAAATATGAAGTATTATCTATTGAAATGATCACAAAATTTTGGCCGAATGCTTTAAAACACAAATCGATTGAATATCAGTAAACGCTTAATAATAAACAACAAAAAATAGCGAGTGTGTAGTATTCACATAAACCGTACACTATGTGTATGCGTGCATTGTACACATAATTACTGATGTAAAAGATATACAGAGAAACTAATACACAATTAATCATTAAATACAAACTGAAGTAAACATGATAGTCATTAAAATGAAGGGTTAAAGGCCAAAATTAAAGACACTGATTTCTTCCGGATGATTAGTTATTAAGGAGGTGAAGAAGAAAAAAAGAATAATATCAATGAATGATAATCTATTCACTATAAGTATTGATGCAAAATAATGAGAGAACAGATACACATAAGCATTAACAATATAAAACTACCCACCTAAGCTTTTACTTTTGGGTTGTAAGTTTTCTTTATAAGTTAATAAATATGTATATTTATGAATATGTGTACGTACATCCTCGATTAGATTTAGCTTACACATCTTCATTGTAACTGAAGAAGCCGGCTGGGCTTGAGTATAGGAAATTTGTTTATCAGTATTAGAATCGGACACCGCACAATGCAACACCGATTTAGCTTAATGTAGCCGGCCGATAGAGTTAACATTTAAAATAATTAAAAACAGTCTGCTAAGATTCAACCAATAAGATTGGTATGAATAGCAATGAAATCAAGAAGAAAGTTGGTTTCATTTTCCTGGACTGTAATCGTACTAAGATTGATGGTCAATATATGAAGGAAAATAAAGGTTAATGAATACATATGCACTATGACAACAGATTTTCAGTCATTTCTTTTTACGAGAGATAACAATTATATTGCGAACATCAAACTAGGAGTATGAACCTTTAAACACGGCTCAAAACAACCGTCTATGACTTCAATGAGTGTTATCTTGCCTCTGTTTGGTCACCTCTTGCATTTCGTTCATCTGGTTTATTAATGCTTGAGGTGTTTGATTGCGGGAAATGGGTACATAACACAAACACATCATCTGCTAACGACCTGAAACATTATAAGCTGATTTAATATTTTTATCAAGCACAGTTCATCATTACTCACTTCAACGTACTCAGGTATATTCAATGTTTCGAAACACATCTGTAAATGATCATCAACAACACAGAACGGGTCTTTCACTTTATCAGGTCATGTTTCACATACTTATTCGAACAACTATCAAAGATTATATTCTTACCACTTAATATCATTATCGTCAATGCACTTTCATTTAAACACATTAAGTACAAACAATCATAATTGATATACTCTACTACATTTATCCCTATTTGTTGGTTATATAATTTACAAAATGTGAATAATTTCATTTAGTTATGAAAAATATCTACCTATTTCACATGATAACAGTCAAATGTGAACCTTAGGACTGACCCAAAAAAGTCATCCAGATTAATTGTGTCAGTAAATAGATAACATGAACGAATTATTACTTACAATGAACATTGAAATTAAACATGAATTTTAACATTGAATATCATATTACTATTATAAAAATAATAATAATAATATAATACCATACAAATATATGCAATTATTAAAAAATAATGAAATACATAAATCAGTTTCCTACACTTATTAAGCGATATATGTGTGAAATCACATGGTTTTAAACTAGGTTAATATAGAATAAAATAACCAACTTATATAATAAATTAACATTTTTCTCTGTTACCATGATAAATTTAATACGGAATCAGTTATTTGGGAAAATAAAAATGATTGGTAAGGATTCGGATTATTCCGTTATTGATTATAGCGACTGAATTTTGATTAATCTTTATTGATATATGTCAATTCTATGTGGATTACTACGATTTAATCATTTTGTCGATAGGATAATTTAAACTCTCAATGATATAGGTATCATATGCGTTGAACAAGTTAGTGAATATCCGGTTTCAGTAGCTCAGTGGATAACGCACTGCTATTTGAGACGAAGAGAAATTGGTTAGGGTCTCTAAATAAACAACAATATTGAGACCCAGATACATCCGCCTGACGAGTCCGAAATACGTTAAAATAAATCCGACTACTAGTTACAATCCATTTACTTTAAAACAATATAGGTGTTCAACTTTGAATATTTAATCGGTTTGTTTTGCAACAAACGAACATATGACTACAACACGATTTGTTGGTTAAACCTTGGATATTTTATTGATATACATCAACAGATACTAAATAAGAACTGGATATTTTCAATGTAAATATTTAGTATCATTTAAGTAGTTAAACTAGGCAATACAACATTAATTACAAATTGATTAATCTCGTACATTACAGATGAAAAAATAAAATTTTATTAACAAATAACCTATGAGTTACATTATTAGCAATTGAAATCTTTGGGATTGTTAACGATTAAAAATGGGTGATGAATGAACGATCACTCAATGAACTACAAGTTAATACCAATAAAACAATCTTTTAAAAGTTAAGAATCGTTAACACATTTGTTGACATATAATTCCCACCTAAACTTTTAAAACACGAAGTTCAACCAAGGGATCTTTTTTTCAAAGAATTTATTATCAAGCCGTACAATCGCATATATTTATGAAAATTTTGTTAAAGTTTAGTTTCATAAGGATATATGAACAGGGAATAAAAATAAAGATGTAATAGAAAGATTAAAATACTAGATCATGTAATGTGAGTAATAACAATAAAATATTATATATGCAATTAGAAAGCCTTGTAAAATCAATAAGTTAGCAATGGATTATAGTGTGAATGAAGTAAGATCATTAAAATGTTTTAGTTATAATTATCAAAGGTAATAGAGAGGTTAAATAAAATGATATCAGAAAGCAATTATAAATAAAATCATGAGGATATGAGACATAATTAAAGAGAGAGGGGGATATTTCAAGTACAAAATATAATAATAATAATAATAATAATAATAATAATAATAATAAAGACAGTTTAAGGCCATAGTATTGATATAGATGACACGTACGTCTTTGATACATATATACGATTGTACAGCTTGATAATGAATATTTGATGCCATGTACCATAAAACTTTTCACTGGACGAATTTTTCTTTCAAGTTTGTAAGTTTTGCAGCAATACGATGGGAAACAAACTACACCAGGAATTAGGTAGATATCATGGATAACATTAAATGATTAAGTCATGTTGCAAATCGATTTAAGTTGGTTCAGTTTTTGGGCCTACGTTCATTTTCGTGTGGAGTCATGAGTATGAGCAGCTGAGGAAAATTTAACTGAAACAAAATAGTTGTCAATATACCTTTTTGTTTTAATTGATTTCCTAGTTATTATTAGATGGTAGTGAAAACGAACAAAGATATTGTTAAAAAGTGGTCACATGTCGTGTAGCCTGAATATCTTGGGTTTGATTGCTGATAGTGTCATGGATAGGTGTTCCTCAGAGATTCCATACTAATGAGAAGCAACTGTCCATCCAGAAATATCTTGAATTTCAATCGTTGTCACAACTACAATGAAGACAGTGTTCTGAACAAACATTGACAATAATCAACCGCTTTCCAAAAGAAATATTGAGCTAAAGTGTGTGAAAGTTTGAATCTCTTCGTTGATATTAAAGACTGTAATTCCGCTTAAAAATTTATGAATAAATAGAAATATCGAAGCGACCCACCCAGGACGTACATATATATCAACTAAGGCTGACTAATCACAGTCCCCAGTATCAACAACTGAAAGATTTAAACCAACTAAAAGCTAAATCCATCTTTAGTGCAGAAGCTAGTGGCTACTGTAACTCAGTAGATCAGCTGATAACGAGTTAGGCATTCTAAGTAAAAGGTAC